TTCCTGGGAGTGGACAAGCTGAGGCTGATCAAGAGCCTTCGAAAGCCTCTCTGAGCCTCTCAGCCCCAGGTGAGAGTGGGGAAACTGAGTCCTCCCCAACCAAGCTCGGCAAGGGAGGTTACCGGCCGGATTCCTGCGGTCAGGTGGAACCATGGCCAGTCTCTGGTCTGCTGACAGGCTAGCAGGGCTCTTGTCTGCTCCCTGTCCTCTTGACTGGCTCTGCGGCCTGAGTGGCAAACTTTCCAGGGTCGGCGAGGAAGCTGCCTCCTCCCAGGCCCAGTCTCCAGGCTGGTGGCTGGGCCTTGGTCTCCCTGAAACCCTGCCTTAGCTCCAGCGCCAGTCTCTCTCCGAAAGGAGACTTCTCCAGGTTCAGGGGTGAGGATGGCGGGTAGGCAGAGCCTCTTCAACTTTGGGCGTTCTCTGTATGGATGGGGATCCTCTGTATGATTTCCACATGGGGATCGTTTGGAAAGGGTCCCTGCCAGGGAGGGAACGGAAGAACCCTGGGCTGCCTGTGTGGCACCAAAGCCCAAGCAAGCTCTCCGCCATGGAGTCGATGCCGACTGCTGCATGGGACTGGGGAGAACAGGAGTAGAAAGTCCTGCGTTCTCCTGCAGAAAAGCTGGTGGCTTCCAACTCTCGACCTTGCAGAACTCACTTTTTTGTGACTTCCCTTGGTCACCCTCCTGATGCCCCCTCTCGACTCAGTGTGTCCTCTCAGACACCTCAGAGCAAAGAGCTGTACCCCCCACCCCCACTTTCCCCCTACACACACACACACACACACACAAAGGACAGGAGACAAGAAGCTCTTAGGAAAGTTCACTGCCCATTGAAATGTGGGGGAGGGGGTGGGGGCGGTTAATGACAACAGAGTGAAGTGCCAGCTCCCATTACAACCCCCTGAGAATAATGTACGAGGGGGGTTCAAAATGCTCATGGAAAAATGGATTTTTTCTGTGAACTTTTTCTTAAAAGAGAACTTTTATTAAGTCTTCAAAGAGATGCAGACATGTTATCTGGATGAGGGAGGCGCCCACATGTGGTTGAAACGGTGTCCTTCCATGAACTTTTTTAAGCTCCCTCATACCTTGTTCCCGTTTCACAGGTGAGGAAACAAGTTCCGGGACTTGAGGTCAGGTAGCCTAGGTCTAGACACGGCTGAAACCAGATGTGCACCCAAGCTTGTCTGACTATAAAATAATATATCACTCAGCAGGTGAAATGGTCAAGACTTTACGGTTGTGTCCTTACTGTCAGCTGAAATGTCTTTTTCTATCTTATGAAAGCCTTCTATGTGCTAGAAACTTGCTGGACACATTCTGAGAGAAACACGAGTCTGGTTCTGGGAGTGGGGAGGGCTATCAGGGTGGGTTCTTCCTGATCTGAAAGTTCAGCTTCTCTGGAAGCCGAGAAGCTGAACTAATGTGCATACATATTTCACAAAAAGAGACCACATCCTGCCCGGAGTGTGGGCTTCTCCTAGGGCCGGAGAGTATGCCGAGGATGTGATAAACCCTTATCTTGGAAAACCTTCCCTTCAAAAGGGCCCAGTGGGCATCCTGTAAGATATAGCACAGTGAGTATGGCTGGCCGGCCTTTCCACGCCCCCGCCGACCCCCAACAGGCAGTTGAGAGAGAGGGACTCCCAGCATCTTCAGAAGAGATAACTACTACACAGTCTTCTTGGCCATTTGGTCCTTCAACAAATACCTACCCTATGCCAAGCATTAGCAAGTGGGGACATCGCGGTGAATAAAACAGTGGTGGCTTGTGCTCTCGGAGACTTTCTGGCCAGGTGAGGCAGAAGTTTGATGGGAGGCAGATCTGGGTGGTCAGGGAAGGCCTCGCCAAGGAGGTGGCATTCAAGCTGAGATCTGAATGAAAAGGAAGCGCCTCCCAGGCAGGAGGACAGGGATGTACCAAGGCTCGGAGGCAGCAACAGGCTGAGGAAGAGGAGTTTGAGGCATAGGAATGTGGTCCCCATGGCTAGGATGAGGAGCTCAGGTGGCATTGTGGGCTGGTTACCATCAGGTCGGCAGTTCTAAGCCACCAGTCCACTCTAAAGGAGAAAGAGGAGGCTTTCTGCTCCCATGAAGAGTTGCAGTCTCAGAAGCCCCCAGGAGCAGTTCTGCCCTGTCCTGTAGGATTGCAATGAGCTGGCATCGACTCAACCGCAGCGTGAGTGAGTGAGTGAGTGAGTTACTGTGGCTGGAGAAGAGCTAAGTGAGGTGGGAAAGGAGTGGGGCCAATCAGCAGACATCATTGAAACTGCCAAGGGAAGCTGTTGAAGGATTTTAAGCAGAGAGAAGACACAGTCTGATTTGTATTATTAAAAGATCACGCGGGCTGCTGGATGGTAAAGCAGGAGCATAGAAACACAGAAGGGTCTTTGAAGGCTCGCACTGTGGGAAAGAGCCATCCAAGATTTGATGCCCTGGGGAGAGCAGGTTAGGAATTGGCTCAGGCGATGGAACGGAAGTCCGGAGCGGTATCTTGGCCCCGCTACACTGAGATGCCTGCCAGCCATCTCTGGGGGCTGTGAGTTAGGTCTTCAAATATCCAAGGCTGGAGGTTGCTGCTCATTGACAGTGGCAGCCACCGTGGGCTCAGGCGGAGGAACCATTGTGAGGATGGTGCGGGACCGGGCAGTATGTCGTTCTGTTGTGCCTGGGGTCACTATGGCACCTAACAGTAACTGGAGTTTGCTGGACAGACGTGGGACTAGAGTGACATCTAGTTGGGGAGTTCCAAACATTGTTCAGCAGGAACCTGGCCCACAGCCAGGGCTCAGCAGAGAGAGATGTGCTGTGTTCGCTGCCTCCAGGTGTAAATACTCTCCCCAGGTATGATTTCCAGCTGCCAGGGGCCCTACAAGGGGTGTGCAAAACTCTGGAACTTTTTACCGCCCAGTTCTCCGAGCCTCTGCCCCATTGGCTCATCATAACAACCCGAGCAAGTGGCCTCTAAGCAAGGTTTGACGAGAGAAAGTGCCTTGTTCACGGCCACGTGCAGGGCTGAGTGGCAAAGAAAGGGCACCAGCCCAGGCCTCCTGACCACTGGTGCATTCTTGCTGACCCTGAAAATTGCAGTAAGCCACAGAGGGAAGCGTCAGGGGGAAATGTCAGGAAGAACTTCCCCTTGGTAAGGTTTAGGAGGTCATGGTGAAGGATTTCTCTTCTCCCTGCTAACGTCCCTTGAGAATAAGTCAGGGCAAAGCAGGACCGAGAGGGGGCAGGACATGTCATGGGGACGCCGCCCCAGGATGCTTGGGGGAGTCCCAGGGTTGCGGGAGCTGCTGCGTGCCCGAGGGTGGGGACCTAGCTTCCGTGTCTCCCCCAGGATGGCAGAGCCGGCCGCCTCTCATTCTGTACCAAGCTGTGCTATGGCATTGGTGGAGTCCCCAACCAGGTGGCTTCCAGTGCCATTGCCTTCTACCTGCAGCTTTTCCTGCTCGACGTAGCACAGGTAAAGAGGGGCCCAGCCCAGGGCGGTCTGCTCCCTGACTGGTTCTTCCACCTTCCCCCACCATGTGTCGGTCATCATCCTTGATAGATAGCATCGCTGACCCAAGCCTGCCAGAAAGCCAATGGCTGTCTAGGGTAGCCTCCTTAAGGAGGTGCCCTGAGGCTCTGTAATGGGGAAATGGGGAACAGCCCTGGACTACATCCACCTAAGGAGCCCTGGTGAGGGCTCAGCTGCTAATTGAAAGGTCAGTGGTTTGAATCCACCAGCTACCCCAAGGGGGAAAAAGGAGGCTATCTGCTTCCATCAACATGACAGCTTCGGAAACCCCCCCAGGGGCAGTTCTACTCTGTCCTGTAGGGTCACACTGTGTCAGAACGGACTTAAGGACAATGGTTTGGGCTTGTTTTTGCTTTTGTTATATCCAGATAATGGGCGATTAGGCAGCCATTCAAAAGAATCGGCTCTCTACCTGCTCAAATGATGCGTTTCAAGGGAGGAAAGCGAGTTCTAGAGAACAGCATATACACTGATCCCTTTTAAACAAAGCAAAGACACATTCTGTGTTTCTGTGTGCATGTCTGTCTGTCTGATAGAAACCTAAGCAGAGCATTATGGAAAAATACCCAGATAGGGTTGGCTACAGGTGGGGGGGAATGGTGGGGAGAAAGAGAGAAGCATTCTCCGCCCCCTCAATAAGATGTATGTTTTGTTTTATTTTTAATGACACTAATACAATTCCATTGGTGTAAAATGATGAATCCGAAATGCATTGCCAGGATGACCAAATGCTTCTGGTGGTTGTCTCTGGGTGGTGAGGTTTCATGTAAGCTTGGCTGCTGTTTTTCTGTAGTTAGAATGTCCCTAATAAGGAGTGTGCTTCAGTCAATACAATGTTTTCCTTGTGAAACACCAAGTCTACTCTGACTGTCAGCCTAGATACATCTGTTTGGGTCTGAGCCACCTCCTGGGTGGGCCCCACATATCCTCTCCAAAGGTGTAGCCTCCTGCGTTAGGGTCCTGCCAGGGAAGCCCAGTGGCCCTGCACCTGGAGGCTTCCTTCCAGCGGACAGATGGGCTTCCACACCCCGCTCTCCTCTGTCCCCTCCCTGGTCCATTTCAGATCCCTGCTGCCCAGGTGTCACTTGTCTTGTTTGGAGGGAAGGTGTCTGGGGCAGCTGCCGACCCTGTGGCTGGGTTCTTCATCGACAGAAGCAGGAGGACAGGGTCTGGACGACTCATGCCCTGGTGAGCAGCCACCCTGGCCCTCAGGTCCCCACATCTGTCCCAGCCCTGTTTCCTAGTGCCAAGCCCCAAGGATCGTTAGTGGCCGAGACTGGAGACTTGAGAGGGGATCAGAGACTCTCTTGCGGACTCTCCCTCTCGAGGCAGCACAGGGCTTGGCAGAGCCTCCAAACCCTGGTTCACAGTGCCACCAGGTTGGCTGGGAAGTCAGGGGAGGTCTCAGAAGAGCTGCAACGGGCTTGTCTTTCAGGGTCCTCAAAAGAGGACCAAGAACACAAGAGCCAGCAGTGAATGGCTCCCTCCATTGCCTGCCATTCCATGCGATCTCCCACCCAGAGCTGCCCCTCACTTCTCCCTGTGCCCACGGACTCTCACTCTGAGAGCCCAAGCCCAGGGCTCCTCCAAGGGCAGAGTGGTTTGTGCCCGAAAGGGGCGAGGGTACTCCAGTTCCTGCCCTTGACAGCCTCGTGTCCCAGTGCTGAGGGGTGCACCCTCTCCCTATGCTTCTGCAGGGTGCTGGGGTGTACACCTTTCATCGCCTTGGCCTACTTCTTCCTCTGGTTCCTGCCCCCCTTCACCACCCTCCGCGGTCTCTGGTACATGACCTTCTACTGCCTGTTCCAGGCCCTGGCCACGGTGAGTAGTCACTTGCTGCCTCGGTGATCTAGGGCTGCTTGAACCGAACTACCACACCTGGTATTGTTTTTCTCCGTTTGAGTGGCTCGACGCCCCAATTCAGAGTGCTGGCTCTCTGGGAGGGCTTTCTCGGCACTGGGGGAAGGTCCTTGTCTCTCCCAATTCAGCTTCCTGGGTCCTCAGGGGCTTAAACCAACTCTGAAATATATAAATCCAATATGAGTGAGACTTTAGGCCAGACTCTTCTTCATCAGAGAACCTATAAAACCTAGAAAACGAGTTGTCTGTCTTCAGAGTCCCAAGGTGGGACAGGTACAAAGTAAACATTTCCACCACCGTGGGAGGAATTAGAGGACAAGAAGGGAGCATGGGCTCCAAGAAAGTCCCAGAACAATTTACATTTGCTCTCCAAGATTGAAAATACGTAACTGTGTCCTTTGGGACCATCGCTGGATGTTGGCCACACCCTCTGAAGGAAGTCTCAGGATCTCTCAGCTCCCAGCTTCAGCTCTGCCTCCCAGGGCAGGAGCTTGGGTAGCAACTCTGCTCCCTCAACTTGGGACACTCTTATTCTACCAGCCCATCAATGGTGACCCCACTTCCTGGCTCCGAGCAAGTTGGTTCTTCCGCCCCTTAGGCATGGCAGCCTGACTCGACTTTGAGCAGTTGTCCCCACCTCCTCTGTACCCTCTCGCCCTTTAATGGCAACTTCCTACTCTTAACCCTGGTGAAGATCTCTGGAACCCAGGAGGGAGGCTGGGTGCCCTCTCTGCAGCCCAGACCATCTCTTTCCAACAGTGCTGCTGAACCACTCCAGGAAGCCCGAGCCTTTTCTTGGGGCAACAAGTAGACACAGTTCCCTGCCTGAAGAAGTCCGAGAGATGGCAGCGTTCTTCCTCCCTTCCCTCCCTCCTTTCCTTTCCTCTTCTGCCTCTTTCAGTCTAGGGGGACGTTTTCTGCTGTGGTCCTTGGTTAGATCATCAGTCACAGGCTTCGTCTCTTTTTAAAAGTGTGTAGCCATGTCTGTGGTGAAAATGCTGTGTGTCCTTAGTTTGTACACAGAAATTTAAAAATCTTCCCAGTTGGTTTGCGTTTTGCACAGTTCATTGTTTTGTTGTCATGTACTTTACATATCATCAATTCACTCGTTCGGCACAGTTCATCTTTAAGTGCATCCTTTTCTTCTGACCTTTGACTGTCAGTGGCAAGAAGTCACAGGACACCTTTAAGATCTTGCTTAGCGATCTCATCGACCAGAAATCCAAGTTCATCACTTACACGGTCTACTTTCTACGGAGCATTTCTGTGATTTTCACCTGTCCAGCATTGCCTTTTAAAGGCTCACCTTAAACACATTAAAAGTCTACATTCTAGCAACTTTTTGATGCTGGTCTCATATGCATTCACTAAGACGAGACTGTCCCTCCTCATTTCCTTCTAAATGCTCACCAGAAATGAGGGTTTGAATTGTCTATAATTCTACCAACCGTCTCATCACGGTAACCTAGGCTTTTGCTGCTCAGCACCTTAAAACATTCCCGATTCCAAACCACGCTCACATGTTAGTGTCTGGTAGAGCACACCTCGCATTCCTGGTACCACATCGTGTTTTAGGTAGTTAGTGCTGCTATTACAGAAATGCCTCCACATGGAGGGGCTTTAACAATCAAATCTATTTTGGGGGCTAGACGCCTGAATTCAGGGTGGTGGTTCCAGAGCAAGGTTTTCTCGGTCAGCTCTTGGGGAAGGTCTCTTCAGCTCCTGCTTCTTCTTCTTTTTTGCTTTGAACAGTTTTATTGGCATATAATTCACATATCATACAATCCAATAATCCAACCATATTAAGAATTGTCCAGTCATCACCACAATCAATTTGAGAACATTTTCTTCATTCTTGTACTCCTTGTTATTAGCTCCCCATTTCCCCTCAACCTCCCCTGTCATGCCCCAAGGAACCATTAATCCAGTTACTGTCTATAGATCTACCTATCCTGGATCCCGCACACAGAAAAACATACCCCCCCCAAAAATTGTTTTAAGTAACACAGAGAAAAATCACAATCAGAAAGAAAATATTAAAAACCAGAACAAATTTAAAATGGGTCCAAAGGGAGAATAAATGAAAAGGAGTTAAAATTTAACCTCACTGCATCTGCAATCATCCACTTTCCAATGCTCTCTGCATGACAGCAAGGCCGCTCACATCCCTGGTCTATGGTCAAGAGACTCACTGGAGGCTTAATCCACCTGTATGTCCCCTTCGCTTTTTTTTTTAACTGAAAGAACTTTAAAATGGGCCAAAAGGGATATCAAGTGATGACATTTTAACCTAACTACATCTAGCATAATCGACTTTACAATGCTCTCAGTCTGCCAGCAAGGCTATTCACATCCCTGTACTATGGTCAGAGGGGATTCACCTGAGGCTTCATCCAGGTGTGGACCCTGCAAATGGATTGTGGGCTTCCACTGTCATCCAGAGCAAACCAGGTGTTCACAATTAGAACTCTGATACCATTCCCGCCTTCTGACTTGGAGTAGATTATTTACAATCCTTGGATCACACAGGCTTGGTGTGCTTCTTACACGTGGACTTAGTTGATGCTCCTATTGCTTGGGTTCCATGGAGATCTCCGTGTGTTTGACATCTCAAGATACACCCACACGAATCCTCTCAGTAACCCAAAACAAAGGCTACCCATTCCCAAGTGAGATTATAACTACAGGCAGAGAGATTTATAACACATATTTGGGGGAAACATAACTCCATTTATAACACCCACCACGCACCTGGACTTGAAAGCCACTGCTGGCCAGTGGGTACTGGGGCGTGGAGAGCGGTAGGCGGTCAGGAAGAACAAGCTGCTCTCACCTGCACACAGTGGCAGGAAGACTGCTAGTCCCTACTCTGGACTCTGTCCTCTGCCATTCTTCAGCCAGTTCCTCTTGCTGGGGGACCCAGAGTGGACAGGGCAGCTAGAGCCCCAATCTTCTCAAGCTGGAGCACCCTGGGTGGGGTGGGGGGGCGCCTATGTGGTGGGACCATCCTAAGCCCTGCCTCGCCCACCGCAGTGCTTCCAGGTCCCTTACACGGTGCTCACCATGTTCCTGACCCCCAGCCCCAAGGAGAGGGACTCGGCCACCGCATACCGTGAGTGTGGGCGGGTCAGAACTGGAGAGGAAGTGGGCCTTGGGATCCTGCGGCGTGGACATCGGTGGCTGCTGTGTCCCCAGGGATGACTATGGAGATGGCGGGGACCCTGATGGGAGCCACTGTCCACGGACTCGTCGTGTCCGGCGCCCACGCACCCCACAGGTGTGAAGAGGCCGTGCTCCCGGGGCCCGGTAGCGTCTCCCCCAACGCGGTGAGTGCCCAGGTGACCGGACCCCATCAGAACCACTCTGCACGGTCACCCCTTTCCTCTCTGGGCTCGTCGTACCCCTCAGGGGGGCCCAGCTCTGTGCCCACTTCGCGTTCTCTTTCCTTTCCTACGCCTCTCACTGAGTGGAGGACCGCCACGCCTGGGGCAATCCCAAGTCCTCCTCTCTCAGGATAAAATAATAGATGGGCAGGCACTTGGTGGCAGTAGGGCCTGCAAGTGGCAGGGAAGCCAGAGAAGGCCACAGGGTGGTCTACTGTTTGGGCAGAGGCCCTCCTACCACCCACCCTCCAGCCCTGCCCCCATCCCGTGTGAGGAAGTGACCAGGAGACCACAGCTTTCCTCTTCACTCAGAGCAGGTGGGTCCTTTCCCCGCAGAGTGAGCACCCTGAGCCAGTGGGGCCATCAACTTCTCTGCCCCGCCCCCTTTCCTGAAGCAAATGCTATCAATAGCCTCCAGACACCTGTGAATCATCACCCTTTCCTCCTTGCAATCCCCTTCCCAGCCCCCCACCCCACCATTCCCAAAGCCTGTCTGCTCTTTGAGGTGCCCTGGTTACACAGTGGTTAGTGTCGGGCTGCGGTCTGCAAGGTGGGTGGTTTGAAACCACCAGCTGCTTCCCCAGAGGAAGACAGGGCTTTCTACTCCGGTGTAAAGTTATAGTCTCAGAAACCCACCGGGCAGTTCTACCCTGCCCTAGAGTCACTGGGAGCCGGCACTGACTTGATGGCAGAGTTTGATAGTCTGTCTGTCCTTCATGTCCAGCTCTTCTGGAATCCCTTCACTCACTGCCTCCCCCCACCGCCTCTCCCTGCACCCGCACCTTCCCTCCCCTCACCCCCCCCCTCACTTCTGCATCAGCTGTTAGTCATCCTGTCCCCCCAGCACAGCCAGGGTGGCATTTTAGAAGGACAAAGTGGGCCTTGTGGAGGGCTGGCTGAGGTAGACATGTTTGGTGTGGCCCTTTATTGCTCCCCAACCCCATCTTAGGGCTTTCCCCATTGGCTCCCAAGTCCAGCCTTGACCTGAGCACAGACCGGGAAGTGGGGTGGCCCTTACGGTCGGCAGGTCAGCACTTGGCACAAGCTGCCCCTCCCCAGGTTTGATTTACAAATAGGCAGAAAGCTGTGTGGTTCTGCCAGCCGCCCTGGCATCAGAGGGGACGTACTCAGCACACTCTTGCACCCCACCCAGATGTCCTGATACAGACATTCTGGCCATGGAACTAGTACTGTTTGAATGAGGCCTCCGGGGGTTCTGATCCCTGCCAAGCGCTGGGAATGGGTGGCATGAAGATAATATCACAAGCATCCGTGTGTCCTACGGTTCATTGAAGCAGACATCACAACTTGCAAATAGTTTGCCGCTCCAGAGTTTTCTCCCCGGCCAGCTACAGAGTCTGTGGACTAGCCGAGGAGGTGGGGGGGGGTAACAGTCACAAATCAGGCTGCTAACAGCAGGGTCAGCATTTCAAAACCAGCAGCCAGTCCTCAGAAGAAAGATGAGGCTTTTTCTTTTTTACTCCCATAAAGAGTTACAGTCTTAGGAACCCACAAGGGCATTTACAGAGTGTCCTGTAGGGTCTCCGTGAGTTCAGACCAATGCGATTGGCAGTGAGTTTGTTTGTTGGAAAGTGGAGCTTCCCTGCCCACAGGCCCCATGGCCCCAAGCAAGGGATTACTACCTCCCAGCTCCAGACATGCCAGGCACCTTAAAGAGGGTAGTAATGGTCCCCTATAACTGAGGCACCCACCGAGTGGCACATGGCACTGCCAGCTGGGGGTGGGAAGGCTGCCTGGTACCTTTCCATGACCCACAGCCAGGTCTTGCTCAAGGTGGATGACTATAGAATGCAGGTCATCTACATGATCACTACCTTGTGGCCTGGTCTGGAGGTCATCCAGGAGGGGGGGAGGTCAGGTAGGGCCTAGGGTGCGAGAGGCTGAAGGGCGAGAGATCAAGAGCTCATCTCAGGGAGGGGGCCGCTGTCCACAGACTCCACTTACAAAACACACACAAGCGTTCCATGGTAAGATTATTGAGAATTTGAAGACAGGGACCCAAATAAAATAACTAACAAAAAACAAACCCAGTGCTATCCGGTTGCCGGAGACTCTCGGCTGCTCTGTATAGGGCTTCCACAAGACTGTGAATCTTTATGGGAGCAGACAGCCTCTGCTTTCTCCCCTAGAGGCAGTCAGTGGGATTAGAAGAAGCTTGTGGGTTTGAACTGCTGGCCTAACTCACTGTGCCACCTGGGTGTCTTGAAAACCATGCCAGCAGGCCATTCAGTGCAGGGGTCTGTGGACACTGGCTCTGCTTGGCCTTCGCCCTCTCTTCTCATGCCTCACTCCCACCCCAAGGCAACTTCTGTCCAGCACTGGGTGACTGCCACTCCGCTGCCTTCCCCCGAATGGCAGGCAGCATTATTTCTGTCTTTTCTTCTGACCTGGGTCACATGCCTCACTCAAAACTCATTGCTACAGAGTCCCTTCTGACTCATAGCCACTCTGTAGGGCAGGGTAGAAACTGCCCCCGTGGGTTTCAAAGACAAACTCTCTCCTGGAACAGAAAGCCTCATCTTTCTCCCATGGAGCAGTTGGTCATTATGAACTGCCTACCTCACCATTAGCAGCCCAATGGGTAACTCCTTCGCCACCAGGGCTCCTCATGCCCCACGCTGGGCTTTAACTGTGCTTTGGAGTCATCTTCCAGCACAGTTGTGACTGAGTCCCTTACGGTGAGTAGACAGGGCACTTACTCCTCTGTGTAACCTCAGGGGCTGGCATGCGCAAGTCAACAGCAGAAATGGTTTTCTTAAAAACCTGAGAGTGAGGATGTGACAGCCAGCTGCCCTGGGCCCCGAGGCATGGATGTCCCCTGTACACAGAGGAGGCGGAAGGGCATGTGGGGATGAACCATCCTGAGTCCTTAGATTTGGGGATGACTGGGACCAGGGGTTTGGGTGGAGGGCCACTCTGCTCCCATGGGTCGGAGCCCTGCCCACCCCAGGTCTGTCCTGTCCTCCAGATGCGTCTGTACTCTGTGGCAGCCGCCCTGGTGGCTGTGACTTATCCTGTTTGCACCAGCCTGCTCTACCTGGGCGTGAAGGAGCGGCCAGGTATGGAGGACAGAGGGGAGCCTGGTTACAGGAGCTGGGGGCAGGGCTCCTCTTGGGGTGGGTTTTGGTTTGGAACTCTGCCAAGCCAAGATGTCCCCATGCTGTGTTGCAGACACCTCCCCTCCAGCCACAGGGGAAGGCCTGAGCTTCCTGGCTGGGCTGGGCCTCACTGTCCGACACCCGCCCTACCTGAAGCTGGTCATCTCCTTCCTGTTCATCTCGGCCGCCATTCAGGTACCTCCGGCTGGGCTGAGCCTGTGCAGGTGCAGGGTTCCGGGGTAGGCACGGGATTAGGCCTGAGTTTTAATAGGGGAAGAAACCGGGGCATAGAAAGGCTGGTGCTGATGGAGAGACACCAAGGCCAGGCTTGGAGGGTTGAAGGGGAGCAGGCAGGAACCTAGCAGAGTCTGGGGTGGTTTCCTCTCATGTTTCCCCAAATTGAGTCAGGCCCACCTGATCCTAGCTGTGGGTGGGGTAGGAATGGTGTGATGTCTTGCTGGGATGAATGCCCTTTGAGGGGAAGGGGTCTCAGAGAAGTGGCCAGAGCTTGCTTATCATTGACTAGGGGAGCTCCGCCAGCCCTTGCACATGCCCACCTGCCTGTCCCCTTTCCAGGTGGAGCAGAGCTACCTGGTCCTGTTCTGTACACACGCCTCGCGGCTCCAGGACCATGTCCAGAGGCTGGTGCTGACCATCTTGGTGAGGGGCCTGCAGTGGTGAGGCAGACCCCTTGGGGGGCGGGGGTGGAGGGAGCACTGAGAAGTCTGGGAGCCACACGTGCGTGTGTGGCCAGAGCTCTGGAGGTGAACATTCCGGGTTGTCACTGGCATCCCAGCAGAGGGCCACCCAGGTTCACGCCAGGCTTTGAGGGCCATCTCAAAGCCGGGCGCCGAGATGCTGGGCACTGACTGGCCCGGGCAGCTCGTGGCCAGGAACCGTGTGGCGGATTGTTCACAGGTGTCGGCTGTGCTGAGCACCCCGCTGTGGGAGTGGATTCTCCAGCGGTTTGGGAAGAAGACCTCGGCCTTCGGGATCTGCGTGAGTGGCCAGGAAGCACGGCCTGGGCACAGGGCATCGTGGATCCTGAGCCTCCTGGGTCCCGGGGGTCTGTGTTCCCCGGCGACTTTGCCCCGCGCAGGGCTGGCATGGGTGCAGGGGGCCACTGCGGCGAGCACAGCGGCATAGGCGTAGGGATCAGCTCGTGCATCTGTCTCCCCAGATGATGGTGCCCTTCGCCATCTTGTTGGCTGCCGTGCCCACGGCTCCCGTGGCCTATGTCGTGGCCTTCGTGTCTGGCGTGAGCATCGCTGTGTCCCTGCTGCTGCCCTGGTAGGCTGGGAGCTCCCACCCCCCTGCCCCACAGCATCCTCTTGTCCCAGGGCCTCGTGCTGCGGGAATGCGGGCACAAGTATTGCCCTGGCTCTCTGTGGGCCGGGGATGTGGCCCACTTAGTCTCAGCCCTGAGGGCTCCAGCCCGGTGGTCCCAGCCTCGCAACCTCCCTCCCCCAGGTCCATGCTGCCGGACGTGGTGGATGCCTTCCAGCTGCAGCACCAGCATGCCCCGGGCCTGGAGACCATCTTCTACTCCTCCTACGTCTTCTTCACCAAGCTCTCCGGCGCCGGGGCTCTGGGCATCTCCACACTCAGTCTGGAGTGAGTCCCTGGTGGGGTGAGGGGAGTGAAGGAAGGGGGGCCCAGAGTCACAAAAGAGTTGTGGGGTAATAAAAAAGCAAAGCCCCCTCCGGCCGGCTGGGGGTCACCCAGGTCTGCTCCCAAGCTCTGCTCTCTGGAGAGCAGGAGACCACCGCCCCTAGGCTTCTCTGTGCACGTGACTTAGACTGGGGGGGCTGTACCCCAATTCTGGAGCCCCACCTCAACTCCCACACTGTTTTATCTGCCCTGGGCCAGTTCATCCCTTCAACCATCTCCTCCACTACCACTAGGCTGTGTCTGGGTTTTGGGGTGTCCTGAGGCGGGGTATCTGGGACCTCTCCAGCCAGAGGCAGGCGTGGCGAGGATCTGGCTTGGACGAGCGAGCAGGCACTGTTTCCCCAGGTTTGCAGGGTATGAGGCCGGAGCCTGTGTGCAGACAGAGGATGTAGTGGTGACCCTCAAGGTCCTCATTGGAGCCGTGCCCACTTGCATGATCCTCACTGGCTTGTGTATTCTCCTGGTCAGCCCCACCCCACGGGTGCCCCGCCAGGAGCCTTCCCGCCAGCTGAGCCTTCGGAGGTGGGCATCCCACACGTGGTACACACAGCAGGGCCACCCCCCACACCCCCCAGAGAGGTGCATAGTTGAGCAATCCTGGCTTTTGGAGACATTTCCTGTCCTTAGCTTCAGCGACGTTTTGGTCCCTGGGTTTTTTCCCCTCCGACTTCTGGTGTTGACTCCCCATTGGATGGCGGTGTTTTGGGGCTCCCTCCCTGGGCCCCTGAGCGTGTTCTCCGCAGCTCCCAGGGCACATCCCCCCACACTCCCTTAGACTCTCTAGTGGAGTAGCCCTAAGATGCTGCTGTCACTGCCGGGAAAGCGGGCAGGGGATGATGGCTTGCTGGGTCTTAGAGAGACACAGCTGTAGCTTGATGCACAGGGACTGTGCAGGTGCAGAGTTGCTGGGAGACACCACCCACCACTGTCACATCCATGGGCTTCTTTCCCTCAGGAGGACCAGCTACAGCCTTGCTTAAAGCCAAAGACTTCTGAGAGCAGGAAGAGCAAGAGCCAGCAACAGCTTCAAGACCTGAAGGCTCCCTTCCTACTCTACCCTGAGCGCCCCACTCAGCGGTGTGGGACACCACTGGTCTTTCTTCAGGGGATTGGGAAGGCTCCTGCTGCTGAGACTGGCCTGGGCTCGAGGATCCCTGCCTGACCATGTCTTGCCTGTCAACCATAAACCACACCGGATAAGGCCAAGACCCTGACCCATTTCCGGCATCCGCTGACCCTAGACCCCAGCTCCCTGTAGAAGCGCTGGGCCCTGCAAGCTGCTTAGATGGCAGCGCTTGTCTGACAGGGGACAGATGGACAGACCTGCTGGCCCTCCAGAGGGTCCACAAAGAAAGGCTGACCGACACCAAAGGGATGGGTAGAGGGGGCATACTGGCGCTGGCCGGTGGAGGGAGACATGGTCAGGAGAGATGGCGGTGAGGACGTGGCAGCAGGCCTCAAGCTGCTGCGCCAGCCTTCCCTGTCTTTCAAGTTAAGTGAAGGACACTTTCTATACTTGGACAGCCAGTACAGAGCCGCCCGAGGCCTTTTCTTTCCACTGAAGTTTATTCTTACAAAAGCAAATGAAAGCGTTTCTCTGAGATGAGTTCTTGTCATACTTGAGTCACCTGGTGTGTCTGTCCAGGTATGGCTGGGTGCATCTTTTGGTAACTTCCTGGGAACTCCTGGTTACACAGTGGAAGGTGTGTGATGTCACTGAGCCTGGCTGTGTCCCCAGGGTCTGACTGCATTTTCTCAGACTGCAGAGACGAGAGTGGCCCAGGAGGCAGGCCATGGTAGCTCCTGTGCGGTGGGGCCTGGGCAGGGCATTGTGAACTCGTAGGCCCACAGACCCCAGTAGCTTCCAAGAGCCGGGCACCTAAAGGAGGACCCAGGGAGCACAGACTTGCTCTCCTGGTTCTTGTAGTCCTTCCCATGGGGTCAGCCATCCAAGCTACTGCCCAGGGCTAGGCACCCCACCCCCACCCCCACCCCCGTGCCTTTCCCTTCAGAACTACAACTGTGTATTCAGTGGCCAAACTTCTCCTGAGACCCCCAGGGACTTGGCCAAGAGGAGTGATGCAGGGGTGGACAGACAGGACACAAGCCCTGGGAGTGTCACTCAAAGCAGACTCTACCAGGACAGGACCCCATAGAACCCCACTTGCAGGCACCCAGGGGGAAAGGAGGGCTCTAAGCAGGAGGGACTGACTAGAAAGGGGCCCATCTTATGTAAAGGTCCAGGAGAAGGCCCAGGATGGGAGGGAAGTGCTTTGACAGGGCGGGGAGACGGAGAAGCAGCTCTAGGTGAGATAGAGCAGGATCTATGGGGCCTGGGCTGTTGTGTCCTGGGCGATTCTGTAGCCCATATGGAAGCCACAAACTGCACGAAGAGGTCATCAGCACACACTAACAAACATCTACAGAGGGAGGGGCCCTGGAGGTGTAGTGGGTTACACACTGGGCTGCAAACCGTGAGGCTGGCAGTTCGAAACCACTGAGCTCTCTGTGGAAGACAGATGAGGCTTCCTACTCCTGAAAACAGTTTGCAGTCTGGGAAACTCACAGGGCAGTTCTACCCTGTCCTATAGGATCATTACCAGTCCACGTTGCGAAAATTCCATTATCTTTTCATTCCATTTTCCCATGCACTTTCCAAAGCCACTTCAAAGATGGAACTCTGACACACAATGAAAAAATGACAACCCAGAGACAGAAAAGACACAGCACACCCCACAGCCAGAAAGGGGAAGAAAAAAAGCTTCTCAAAGTCACCCTGGTCCGGAAGTGCCGATTAGCACCACAGTGAGATGCTCTTCAAAATTAAAATTACGGGGCTGTCATAAAAAGGCACTGCAGAACACTAGGTACTATGATGCCAAGGGACTTCAAAAGTCCATGGGAAATGGACTTCGAAGATAAAGGAATTTTCCCATAAACGTTCTGAACACCACCCCCCCACACACACACACCATCCTGCTGTAAATTAGTATCTAAGCATCATGGTTTTATAAAGTTGAAGAGGCACATACCGTGACCCAGCAACTCCACTGGTTAAGTAGAAGACCCTCGAGAGGCGTTCCAAACACTTCCATTAGGAGATGTGGACAAGGGTGCTCCAGACAGTATTGCTTTGCTCTCTCAGGGGCTCTCTAGCAGGTCGGAGTGCAGGATCTCGTGCCGGCGGAGTCTCAGGCTCGTGTTTTCTCTAGCCGAGCTTTTCTTCCTCTTTCAGATCAGGCACTCTTGGTTCTGTGGACTCCTCGTAATGGTTATTTTCCATGTGGTTTTTCATGCTCCCCTGAAGTGGCCCATTTGGTCTCTACCTCTCCCATGGCCCCACCATGTGGCCTTGCGCACCTTCCAGAGATGGCTATTCAAAACTTCCCTCTCTCTCAGAAAGGCTACTTGGATTTACACAACAAAACAGACGCTAGTTCTTGTCATCAAAACCACACTCGGGCAATCCCCGTGGTCTACGGCAGGAAGATGGGTCGGCTGTGCAAACTCCAAAGCATTGAAGGTCACAGACACTTCCTCTCAGGTGGTTGGGTCCGAAACAGTACTGAATGGGGTGAGGGTGGGGGGAGCAAGCCACTGAGCACTCCATGTAATAGAGCACCCTTCTTACAAAGTTCATTGCATCCCTTGGCCTAGCAGATGTACGTGGTGAAGAGGAATGAAGAAACGGTAATTATAACAACCCTTCCCTCTGCTGGGAGCTTTGACCATGAGACCAAGGAGCACCAGTGGTTTCCAGTAAGGCTCTGGTTCTTCACTTACGTGGCTGGTGGCTAATTATTAAGCCTCCTTATTCCTGTATCAGGAACCCTGGTGGCGTAGTGGATGTGCGTTGGGTTGAGATTCACAAGGCCAGCAGTTTGAAACAGGCAGCTGCTCTGCGGAGGACAGATGGGCTTTCTATTCCCATAAAGGGTTACAGTCTCAGAAATTCACAGGGACAGCTCTAGCCTGTCCTACAGGGTGGTTATGAGTGGGAACTGATTCCAAAGTGGTGAGTTTGAGTTTGATTTCTTATATAGATTGCATGTGTCAAATATTATCGATACAGTATTTGGGAGGGAAATGAGTGCAAAATGGGCTATATGCATAATGTCTTTCATCGTGCAAAAGATTTTCAATAAAACATTAAACAATAAGGTAAAGAATTTAGCTCTCCATGTCCAAAGCCAGCAAACACTGGATTTTCTCATTGGCCCAACGACTTTCATAGGAGCAGAGGCCAGGAAATGCCTTCCGGGTGAGTGGTCAAGGAAGCCGATTTGCCGGGTTCCATGCTCCTGGTAGACACTTTGAGTAAGTTTCTACCCAAACCTCGGTGAGCCATGGGCTAAGCACTATGATAACTTTAGACGCTGGCCTTATGGGGAACACGGCATCCCCCCAGGGCCACACCAGAAGGACTTGACATGGAAACCAGACTGAATGAACTGGGCCCTACCTGAAACCTACCTGTAGTCCTTGAACTTAGGACTGACATTCCCTGATGGGAGAGGAAGCAAAGGAATGACGGCCCACACGGCAGAAAGGGTGGCGGTTGGCCCTTGGGTGGGCCCCCTGGTTAGTGGGTGTCCAATGAAAGGGGGCCCAGATCCACCATACAGGATCTCAATGCTCCCCCTGCATTAATATGATAAATATTAATCTGATAGACAAGGATCTGCCCTTTTAAGAATGTTTTCCCCAAGCACCTACCCCCATGCTCAATGTAACAGAGCTCAATTAAGAAATTAATCTGCAAAGAACAAAAAAATCGTATCATTGTGAATGAGGGGGACTGCGGAGTAGAGACCCAAAGCCCATCTGTAGGCAACTGGACATCCCTTTACAGAAGGGTCACAGTGAGGAGATGAGCCAGCCAAGGTGCAGTATATCAATGATGAAACATACTTTTCTCCAGTTCTTTACTGCTTCCTCCCCCCACCCCACCCCACCCTACCCCCACTATCACGATCCCGATTCTACCTCACAAATCCGGCTAGACCAGAGGATATACACTGGTACAGATAAGAACTGGAAACATAGGGAATCCAGAACAGATAAACCCCTCAGGACCAATAATGAGAGTAGCAATACTAGGAGGGTAAAGGGGAGGTGGGGGAGAATGGGGGAACCGATCACAAGGATCTACATATAACACCCTCCTTGGAGGATGGACAACAGAAAAGTGGGTAAAGGGAGATGTCGGACAGTGTAAGACATGACAAAATAATAATTTTAAAATTATCAAGGGTTCGTGGGGGGGGAGCGTGAGGAGGGATGGAAAAAATGAAGAGCTGATACCAAGGGCTCAAGTACAAAGCAAATGTTTCGAGAATGATGATGGCAACAAATGTACAAATGTACTTGACACAATCGATGTATGTATGGACTGTGGTAAGAGTTATACAAGCCCCCAAGAAATGATTTAAAAAGAAATATTGTTGGTGGTCTTTTCTTCCTCTTTATTTTTATCATATTGTTTTGTTTTTCGTTGTTTCTGCTGGGTCTCCCAGTTTATAAAGCACGGAAGAAGTGGATGCATAGAGACAATCACGGAAGCACTGGTTTATCCAGGATGTGGAGCGGAGCTGGAGAGTGGGGAGGGTGAAGAGCATTGGGGAGCAAACAATAAATGTGGGAGGGGGAGGGAGCACTAGAATGGATGGTGATGATAGATATACAACTCTTTTTAGTAGTGACAACTATGGAAGTGTATGAGATGTGCATACTCTTATCAAAAATATTACTAAAGAAAAAGAAACCAAATTTGACCAATAGTCACCATGGGTGAAGAAGCAAGAGTTTTTGCTTAGGGGACACTGAGTTTATGTTAATAGTTGTGGAATCATTTGGACAAAGATATAAATAATGGTTGTATTGAAGTATCCTAACCTGCTAACCATGCTGACCTCACTTTTGTATGTTTCCATTGGTTAAGCTTGCTATTTCCCCATTAGTGTCCGAGCCCAGAGCCACCGAATTAAAAAAATTGGTGGGCTGCTGCCCACACCCATAATGAATACCATGGGGAAGGTCCCTAGCTGTTCATCCCCCTAGTCATTGTTTGCAGTTGTAACTGGATGTGAAAAATCACCCCACCCACCCATGGTTTGTTGCTTTATAAACCAGAGTTTGAGTGGCATTCAGACCAAGAGACTTTGAGCCAAGCAAGAGCTAACTCCCAGCCACCGGCTTATAGTAAAGCTCTCATTCGACCAGTTCTGTGTGGTGCTGACTGACTTGGAAACAGGGCACAGCAGTACAACACGCAGCGTATAATCATCCCCCCCTGGCACTGAATTACACACGTACAAGCTGTTGAATTGGAGAATGTTTTGTCACATATATTTTTGCCACAATTAAAAAAGTCACACAAATTACAATGAGTACAAGGAAGATGTTCTAAAATTGATTGTGGTGACAATGGTACAACTCTTCTTGATATGGCGGACCTACTAAATTGTATATGTGGGTGAATTTCCAATAACTCTGTTTTTAAAAAAAAGGAGTGGGGGGAGATTGTGGTGATGATGGTAGACTGCTTCTTGATGTGCCTGAACTATTGAATTGTATGATATGTGAATTACACACCAATAAAAGTGTT